CACAGACACACACATACACAGACACAGACAGATACATGCACAGACACACACACATACACAGAGACACACACACACAGAGACAGATACATGCACAGACACACACACACATAGACAGACATACACACAGACACACACACACAGACATACACACAGAGACAGACAGATACATGCACAGACACACACAAAGAGACAGACATACACAAAGAGACAGATACACGCGTAGACACACACGCACAGAGACACACACACAGATAGACACACACAGAGACAGACAGACAGACAGACACACACACACAGAGGGAGAGGGAGAGAGGGATGAGAGAGAGAGAAGGGGGGAGAGAGAGAGGAGATGTCAGGGAACTCCATTTCCACGCCGGAGATCTGGGTTCTATTCCTGACCCCTGCAGCTCATGCACAACCACCACCTGCCTGTCAGAGGAGGCTCGAGTGCTGCTGGGAGGTGGAATAGGGTTAAGCGCAGTTTCTGGACTAAGGTCAGGAACAGGGCCTGGAGGCACACATGTGGCTCTGTAGGGCCCCAGCAGAGAAGCTCGATGGCAGAGGCAGGGCAGCTCCGTGTGGGTTCTGCCGCCTGTGGTCAGTGAGACAGGTGCCACCCAGGCAGCCTGAGCCCTGGGAGCTCGTGTGCCTGGAGGTGGACGCAGCTCCCTGACAAGCCAGGTGAACGTGGTGCACTTGTGCTCACTTTACTTACCCGGACTGAACAGTGCCTCAGTCGGCCTCACCTGCCTTAATCCATACCCCATCCCAGTCCCCCAGAGCTCTGGTGGCTCTGGTGCCAAGGGCACGTGGTTCAAATCAACCAGCTGTTTTTTAGAAGGAGGATGGATGGGCAATTGCCTCCTGTGTGATTTACCACCTCTGAAAGCCTGCTGGAGGGTCAGCCGTGAGCTGGTTCTGACCCGACGAGACATGATAATAACTGTCCTTGTCAGGGACTGTCAATGTGAGGAGAGGTTCTGGTTCTGTGGGAAGTGCTGTGGGGTTGGATACAGGCACCAGGCAGCTCCGGGAGCAGAATCTTGGATGTGATAAGAACACGTAAAACGGTTCAGTGTGTTAAACATTGCACTGTTGACCTCAAGGTTGGAGGTTCGAACCCTGAGCCACTGCGCAGGAGGGAGAAGAGGCAGCTAACTTCCGCTGGGATTCACGGCCTCGGGAACCAGATCAGGGGGGTCGTTCTGAACTGGCTCCAACTTGACAACAGTGAGTTGGAACGTCTCCAGTCTGCAAGGACTCCGAACACCACACCTGGCTTCCATATAGTGGCCAATGGACTCCATCCACTGACCTACTGACCACTCAGCAGCCCAAGTCAGGAACATGAGGACCACAAGAGCCCCATCGCCTGAGGCTTCGCCCTCAGCCTTCCACCCGGGGTTGGCTGTAGAGAAACCCAGTCTTCCGGCAAATATTAAGACCACCATTCCACCTGCTTGTGACGTCGTCCAAGGCTCACCCTCACTCATCGACCGCAGGACGTCTTGATGCAGAAAACCAGGTGGTGTTTACAAGGTGCTGCTGGTGGGAATGAATTTGGCAGCAGGGCCCTGGGTAGATTCATCGTTACAAAGTGCAGGTGTGTTTCTATTCCAGGAAGCTCAGTTTACCAAAAAAAGGGCAATTTGCAAAGAACCAGAGGGGTCGGGGAGGAAAGGAGTTGCTGACGACTGGTTATTTTAGTGGTTAGAGCTGGGCTAGGACTTAGAGGCTCTCTAAGCCAAGGTTGTTTTATTTGGCCTTAGATACCATCGACTCATTGTTATTTCCCATCCAATCCTTTCATTCAAAAATCACAAAGACAAACCAGATGAAAGTGAAAAATTGCTCCGCGTACAATTTAAGCCTGAAAAGCTTGGCAGAATTTTACTTTTCCCCCCAGAAGTATAGAAGCAGCAGTTTAGTGGTAAGGAATTGCGCTGTCAACCCAAAGCCAAACGGTTCAAATCCACTGGATGCAGGTGTGGAGAAGGGTGGGCAGTCTCCTCCCAGGTGATTTACTGTCTCTGGAAACCAGCAGGAGGGTCAGCTAGGAGTCTTTCCAACTCAGCGGCACACAATCCCCACCACAGTAGAAGTACCGTCAGAATGCTTCTTAAAGACAAGATGATGAGACTTCTCACTCACTTCGGGCATGTTATTAGGAGGGACCTGTCCCAGGAGAAGGCCACCAGGCTTTGTGAAGTCGAGGGTCAGTGAAAAGGTGGAAGGAAGGTCATCGACGAGATGGAGTGACACAGCGCCGGCAACAACGGCTTGGACTCAGCCATGGCGGCGAGGGTGTGACTGGACGTTCGGGAGTTTTGCTCTGTGGTACTAGGGTCACTATGAACTGGAATCAACTTGATTTCATTAATAACAACAACACTGACTTGTTGGTTGCTTCCGCAGGGCTAGAGCTTCGGGAAAGACAGCTTGAAAACCACAGAACGATTGTTCTGTGGGACTGCCCCTACCACCCCGCCCCAGCACGCGACAGGGATGGCGGAACCCTGGGGAGTGAGCCCACCAGGTGTGTGGGGCCCAGTTTTCGATACTCAGTACAGGTCCAGCTTTACCACAGGTGAACCGTGAAGGGCTGGTCTCTCCACATGCTAGATTCACTTGCCACCTTCAAACTAACTGTGACTTGCTTCAACTGCACGAATTTTAGAGTATATCTGTCTCCTTGGCTTTTACAGGCTGTTATCTTTTGGAAGGGTCACACTTACCTATTAACCTAAAGGCTGAGAGTTCGAATTCACAGAGTAACACCATGAGAAGAAGGGCTGACATTTTGCTTCCATAAAATTACAGCTCATATCCAAGCAGATATATGCACACCCATGCTTATTGCAGCTTTGTTTACAATAGCAAAGAGTTGGAAGCAACCTAAGTGCCCATCAACAAATGAATGGACAGAGAAGCTGTGGTATATTCACACAATGGAATACTATGCCGCATTGAAAAACAAGGAACCCATGAGATATTATTCAAAATGGGTGACTCTGGAGGACGTTATGCTGAGTGAAATATCTCAGTCACAAAGGGACAAATACTGCATGGTGCCGCTGTTGTAGAATGGGTCTGACATCAGGGTTGGGGTAAGACTGAGAAAAAACTGGATAAATTATGTATATTATATTGAAACAGATGAGGGAAAGAACAGATTAGAGGTGATATATGATTGAGTTTTATGGTTAGCACAGGAATCCAGAATTAAGGTTGCATAGAGAAGTGTACTCGGGGTGGGGGGGGGAGGGATGGGGGAATTGTATACCAATGAAGGAATTTTTTTTTCCTTTTTCTTTTCGGAGAGGGGAGCGAACTGGTGGGGAGGGGTGGGCAGAGAGAAAAGTGCAGCAATGAATGAATGGAAATCCAAAACCTCTGTAAATGCTCATTAAAATTAATTTTTAAAAAAGGGAAAAATGTACACTATAATGTTCATGATTTCTACTGCTTTGGGATTAATAATAATAAGATGAATTGACATTTCACACTTGAGTTCAGGTTTTAATTTTTTATGACTTAAAACAACCTTACATTGTTGTTGTTGTTAGGTGCTGCTGGATTAATTTTTACTCATAGTGTTGTTGTTATTGTTGTTGGTAGGCACCGTTGAGTTGAGTACAACACATAGCTTGGTCCAGTCAATTAATGCGGTCCTTCCATCCATAGCATTCCATTTCGTGATGAAGTATTTGCTGTGGTAAGGAGGTCTGATTAGAGTATGATACAAGCCCTTCTCGACTAGAAGGCCTATATAAGCTCATGAAAGCTCCAGATTTGCTTTTTTTTTGGGGGGGGGAGGGCGGAATTACAGCTCAAAATCCCGTGCACGTGGGGTTGGTACTTCCAGGGAGAATATTTATGACCCAAGGTCATCAGGACCTTCTTCCAGGGCTGCTGTCAGATGTCTTCGAGTGGGATATGACTAGGCGACCCTGTGGACCACAGGTGTGAACCCCGAAATAGCCTGTACCATCCTCATCCTCTCTGGCACACGTGAGCCCATTGCTGCGGTCACGGAGTCAATCCACTGGCTGAAGTGCTTCCTCCTGTGGCTAACCCTCCCCCGCTCCCAAGCAAGAGGCCCCCTCCATGGAATACCTTCTCCAAACAGCATGCCCAACGTATGTCAGATGAAACTTGGCATCCAAAGAGCACTTTGGATGCACTTTCCCCCAAGACATATCTGTTCTTTGCGCTGTCCATGGGAGGATGTTCAGTGCTCTTCTCCAACACCACAGCTCAAAGACATCCATTCTCCTTCTAGCTTCTTTATTCATGGTTCAACTCTCAGACGCATAGCAAGTGAGTGATAAGATCATGGCTCATATCAGGCTCACCTTCATCATCAAATGTATATCATCACTTCTAAGCTATTTGGAGAGGTCCCTAAATTGTAGCCTTTCCCAGTGCAATGTGTCTCCTGATCTCCTGACTTCTGGTGCCAAGTGTGTTGATTGTGGAGCCAAGTAAGAAGAAATCATTGACAACTTCAATTTTTTTGTCTGTTTATCCTGATATTACTTA